AAGGGTCTGGAGTGACAGAACAAGGGGGAATGGGTTCATCCTGACAGAGGGCAGCTTTAGATGGATATTGGGAAAAAATTATTCTCTGTGAGGCTGGTAAGGCACTGGTACAGCCTGCCCAGAGAAGCTGTGGCTGCTCCATCCCTGGAGGTGTCCCAGGCCAGTTGGACAGGGCTTGGAGCAACCTGGGATTGTGGAAGGCAGGGGGATGGAATGAGATGGTCATTAAGTTCCTTTCTAACCCAAACCATTCTAGGATTCTATGACTGGACTGCTGAACCCAGGCAAAAGAAGAGCTACATTGCCAAGGTTAAGTGAAAAAAGGGATTAAAACCACCTGTGTTTACACTATAAATCCAAACATCAATTAAGATTGTTCTGATAAAGACCTGGGCAGCACTCAAACAGCTGCTGAAGGCTGTTCCTGGGTGTATCTCGGGGTAAAGGCACAAAGGAGCCTTTGTTCTTCTTCAGTCCTGGCTGAAATCTAAATCTCAGTGAGTGCAGCTCAGAGGGTGACGTGTGCTGGCACAGGGGGCTGCTGTGTGCAACTTGTTTTCCAAAAAATGAGAGCTGCAGAGGAGAGGTTCCTGAATACAGTAACTCTACCTACACCCAGAACTGAGGCATCTGCCCAAGGATTTCATATTCACTGACTAGGAGGGAAATCTAATCAGGGCTTGATAATTTTCATGAAGACAAACACCTGGGATTCACTTCAGACTCGCATTTCCTGGAATAATTCAACACAAACACTGTGTATTTATACACAGGCACTTGACTTTTCTGTTGTTTGATGAGACTACAATTTGTGGTTCCTGCAACTCTTCCTCTCCCGCGATTTGCAGTTGAATTACCAACCTCTACCTCAGGAATATTCATCTGTTGTGTTTTGGATATTGTTGTTCTTCAAAGGAAAGCAAACAATGCAAGTTTCAGCCAGCCCTTTTCCCAGGCAGATTTTATTGGAGCCAAGTCCTGCCTCAAACCAGAATCCAATCTCATCTCCATTGTTGTGTATCTCTATTATTTTTCTCGTCATTGCTTTTCCATTTCTTATTACTATGCAGCTCTCAGTCCTGAGCAACATCATTCAGAACTACACAGAAGTCACATACTGCTGCTTTTCTATTCCTGTCTGCTTCTTACCTAATCCCAACCAGCTTTCTATTGAACATCTGCTTTTACCTGGGCTGATAGGTGCATTTTTTAGCTGTAAATATGCAAATCAGGGATGCAGAATTTTTCTTACTCTGTGAATCTGATCAAGGTCTTTTCCCAATGTGCCACTGACCATCTGAATTCTCCCTTTCTCCCAATAATCTCCTGTGCTGGTTTTGGCTAAGATAAACCAGGCAGTGCTGCTTGGAGTCACTGTTTTTCCATCCCATCCAGTGGCTGGGGTAGGATGGCTGGTTGGGGTGTGCAGACAACCCACTGCTGGTGTCCAGCCTGGGTCATGGCAGACTGGATGCCACAGGGGATCCATCCTTTGCCATGCCTTGTGATCCTCCATGCAGTAGGGATAAAATGCCCAGCATTGGGGAACCCCAGGTGCTGCAGCAGTGATATTTTTGGGAGAAACACAGAGCTGTGTGTGGCCAGCTTGGTGTCTGCACTGGTGTGAACACCAGGCCTGACCTGCTGAGCCCAGAGCCATGAGCAATGCTCACCCTGGCTGGGACACTGAGTCAAGGAGCTTTGCAAGAATCATTTAGCTCGGAAAACCTCTCTAAGTTCATGGAGTCCAACCATTCCCCCATCACTGCCAAGCTCACCAGTCAACCATGTCCCCACGTGCCACATCCACACTTCTTTTAAATCCCTCCAGGGATGGTGACTCCAGTGCCCTGGACAGCCTGTGCCAGTGCTGGACAACCCTTTTGGTGAAAAAATTTTCCTGATATCTAATCTAAGCCTCCACTGGTGCAACTTGAGGCCATTTCCTCTTGTTCTGTTGGTTGTTACCTGGGTGAAGACACTGTGCACACACACACACAGAGGGACAGATGGGCACAACATGGCACTGGAATTCCTTTTGACTCTGTCAGGAAAAAATTTATCCACAAACACCAGAGGTTTGTGTCCAAAAAGGAGAGAGAGGAGTCCTTTTACTTTATTTGAATAAAGGGAGAGGCCATGGGGTCTCTCAAATTTTTTGGAGGATGCAGTCTCCCTTTATCCTATCCCTTTTCCCCATTGGCTAAGGTACTTGAGAGGCACAGACTTCCCAGAACGCCTGATACCTGAGATTCCCCTCTAATGTATAACCCTTCCTTTTAATTTTTAATTCTTATAGAATTCATGGTTTTTCCCTATTGCTTCTTTCAATATCCAGTTTCATTTATCAGCAAACCTACAGTTTGTTTGTAAAGGCAAATATATTTTTCCATTCATCACACAGTGGAATGCATCCCATTTTTTCTTTTTTCTCTCAGTGCTAGTCTTATCTACCAGCAGACCCACAGCTTGTTTGCAAAGACAAATCCATCATTCCTCTCAACTCTTCAAACAGAAACCCATGTGGATGGTCCTTTTTTGTGCACCAGGTAAAAACTGAAGTGGTGAGATGTATCTTAACCAGGGAGAAATCTGGAGGTGGGGGGGAGAAAGATGCTTTGAAAGGGAATAAAACTTGCTGCCAGGCTTTTCTCTGTGAGCAAGTCAAATTTCTTTCTCTTTTTTTTTTTTTTTCTTTTGGGGCTGTGTTATTCCTCCGTGGGCAGAAGGCTGCAGGCATTTCAATTTTCTTTAAGTCCTTGTTTCAAAAAGGGCCCAAAATATGTTCTCTTCTCAGAGGCAATAAACAGCAAGTGCACAATGCAGCTTCTCTAAACCTCTCTTCTGTCTCAGGGAGAAAGGAATTCTCCAAGCCCTAGAGCCTGACTCACTCGCTGTGTGAGCATGAATTAACCAGGAATGTTCGAGAATTATTCCTGAATAATTCATGAACCTGAATTAATCATGCATTTTCATGAATTATTCATGAATAACTCATGGAAATGCAAGGTTTATTCATGCTCCAAAAAACCCAAGGCTTTTTCTCTTCTCTTCTCTCTCTCCCTGTAAGAAACAGACCTGAAACAAGCTAAGGAAAAAAATAATATATGTATATGCGAAAATAACAGGAATAACAATGCTGAAACAAAACAACCAGGAGAAAAGAAAGCAAAAGCTCTTTTTTTTCTTTGCAGTGGGGACAGCAGGTGGGAGCTTTCCAAGCCGGACAAAGGAGACCTGACAAGGAACTGTGGTGAAGGGACAAGCTCAAGGCAAGGAAGTGTCCGGTCACCTCCTCTCCTGGAACAGGAGAATTGGACAGACAGGAGACATCTTGCAGGACTCAACACCTGGAGCAGTGCTAACCAGGCAAGGAACAGCTCTGTTGCTATCAGCATTGTGATCTCTCTCTTTTTTGCTCTGTTTGTGTGTTTGTGCAGTTTTGTGGCATTCAATGAACAACTGGTTAGGGAAGGAAGATCAGTGTGTTTTCTTGAAATGTTAAAGAAAGCCTCTCCTGAGAGCTGTTTGGGCTGGGGTTGTTTGCTGTTTGGAATGTGGAGCTCTGTTTCTGGGAGGGAGAGGGCTCAGCTATGCTTTTATCCCAGTTTCTGCTCTGTGTTTGGGAGGGGGCTGGGGGCAGCTGCCTGCTGCAGGGAAGGGGATGTGTGGAGACAGGCACATAGATAATTTTTATATGGTGTTTCCTGATAAAAATCAATGCCAGGGTGTGTATCAACCAGGAGAAAAGGGCTGGAGAAAAGCAGGTGTGAGACTGTGCCAGCAGGGCAGACTGGCAGGTTTGGGGAGAGTTACAGTTCCTTGCAATGAGCTTTGCTGCTGCTGATGGTGGTGGAGGTGGGGAAGGAGAAACTTCTCCAGGGTGAACTTGAACCTTCCAAGTGAGAGGAATCAAATCCAGGCAGGACTTTAATGGGGGTGTAGTTACAAAACAAGAAACTGGAATAAATTGGGTCCTAGCTGTCTTTCCTGACAGTTTGTCTCTGCTCCAACTCTCCTCTGCCTGCCCCAGCTCCCTTCCATCTTTTTTGGGCACTGTGGCCATTCTCCACCTGGTGCCCAGCACATGGGCTCAGCCCTGTCCCCAGAACCCTTCTGCCAAATCCTGCCAGGGCCCTTAGGTGCTGGACAGGAACCCCTCCTGAGCTCAGCAGCCCTTGGCTCCTCAGCTGCTCCTCTGGCATGGAAGGTTTTGGAAATCACCACCAGCCTGGCTCTCCAGTTTCTCCAGTGATTGAAGTCAGCAGCTCCAGGGACAGAAAAAGACATCTCAGTGGGCAGAGCAGTGGGCCAGGACTGAGGATCCAGCTCCTTGCAGCTTTGTTGCTTGACTGCCTTAGACATATCCATCACTGCTCTGTGCCTCAGTTTCCCCATGGGTGCAATGAAGGGAATTTTCTGTTCTCCTTATCAAAGCATTTTGATGTTTACTGAGGGAAATAATTGCACAGGCAAAGGAATGATCATTTCCTGGAATACCCCTGGGTCTTTTTGAGTCTCTTCTCTGCACTGCCTTGATATCACACAGACACAGCTCTGCACTGGAGCAAACTGCTGTAGCTCCACGGAATCATTTGAGCTGTGGTGGTTCACAGGGGCAGAGGAACGAGCTCAGTGGTTTGTTCAGCATCTGCTCCAAGTGTCAGCTGTGAGACCTGGCCCTCCCTGACCCCAGGTGAGACCTGGCGTGGCTGTCACTGTAAGAGACACTTGGATGCACTGAAAGCATGTGGAGCTGTGCTCAGTCAGACCCAAGACAGCCTCCCAGCAAAGGGCTTTAGGATGAGGCAAGCTCAGAAGGGTGGGGATGGGAACAGAGAAATAACTGGAAGAGAAAATGCAGGGCCAAGCATTTTGTATCTGCAGGTTGTGCTGCTCCAGGTAAAGCACCCTTTGTGAACACCCCGAACCACAGGAGAGAATATCACCCTGTGGTGACATTGCCATTCTGCTCCCTCTGCTCCAGGTGGGCAGCCCTGATGTCAGCCAAGCTCTACGTGCTCATCAGCTGGCCCGATGGCAGCCGGGTCATCAACATGGAGAACATCAAGGAGCCCCGCAAGCCCTTCCACCTCTACACCGTGGGGGAGCAGGTCCTGGCCCGCTGCCCCGGCTTCAGTGGGCTGTACTGGGGCGTGGTGGAAGGTATAAGTGGTGAGTGACACCCCTCTGGCCTGGGTTTGCAATTTGGGGCTGCTCAGGAGCAACCTTCCAAGAAGGAGTTTAGTGCTCAAAGATCTTCTCTTCCTACAGAGCATAAAGATACTTTGGAGAAGAAGCTGCTGGAAGATCGACAGCTCCTGGAGAAGTTAAGTGAGTAAGGGCTTTTGAACATTGCACCTCCACTTTCGTGGGGTTTTTTGGGTGGGAAGATGCAAAGCATGTTGTAGTCCCACCATGAATTTCCCATCTCTGCAGTCAGAGTGCAAAGAACTGAGTGGAAGATACACAACATTGCTGCCCCACTGCACACTGAGTATCTCCCTTCCTTTTCAGAAGAAGAACCAGCTGTCCAGAGCATGATGCCGTCCCCACCAAAAAAATCCAGGAAAACCTTTCCAAAATGGACCCCAGGGAATGCATCTAGGAAATATCCCAGTGACAGGACCTATTCTGCAAAGCCAATGCTGAGGGTGGCTGAGGCCAGCCTGCCCCACGATGCCGGCAGCTGCTCCATCCTCAAGGACAGGCGTGTCCTGGGAAGCGTGGCAGGAAGCCCCCGCTCACTGGCAGCTCCTCCCCACCCAGCCAGTGCCTTCACACCCCCACCCACCTTCATCACCATGGCCATGCCAGGGCCAGCAGCTTCCCAGAGTGAAGAGGACAGGGCTGGTCCAGCTGCCAGAGGTAACCCTGGGTTCTGACTCTGCTGCCTGGTCTTAAGTGACAGGGTGGGATGGGGACTTGTAGAGAAGCCAGAAAACCCCTGCTTTGCTCTGGGGCTGTATGGGCTTTGTCTCAGGGCTACAGAGGCATTTCCTGGTCCTTTCCACCTGGGAGATCTCCTCCAGGAGGGCTGTCTAAAGGGAGATGCCCATATGTAGAGTATGGTCTCTGCTCTGTCAGACACCAGCTCTGTCTCCTGGGCTAGCAGTTCTCTCCCCCCAAGCCAAAAGTCAATGTGAATGAATGCCTGCCTGAATAACTGAAATTCCCAAAACCCCTGTGTCTCCATTAGTCAAACCTTCTCAGATTTGCCTATTTCCCTATTTTTCCACCCACTACTACACCCATTAAATGCCCTTATGAAAATATGCTAGTGTCTTATTTACCTGCTGACTAACAGCAGAATCCAGAGACACATTGGCTCTGCTTGCCTTGCCCCACCATATCTTTTGCACAAGGAACAGAAGCCCTTGAGATGCCACCTCTTTCTAATAACAAATCCCCATGGATCAGTCCTGGAGAGCCTGTCTGGATCACTGTTCATGCAAATGGAATAACGTTGCCATGCAATCTAGCAGGGGTGCTTAGGTAATCTGTTCTGGAGACAGAGGGATTCAGGACCTTTTCAACAGTTGATTCTTCAGTTTGTCTCCAACCCCCACTGCAGATTACATTGCCCTTCCAATGAAGAGGAAGTCAGATGGCATCTTGTCCCCGTGCCAGAAGCAGATCTGTCTGAACAGGTAACACCTGAGAGCACAGTAAGGACCCTGAATGTTTCACACCACACACATTGATTTCTGTCCACTCTGTCTCCATTCTCTGGCAGGGCTTGCTTTGAGCAGATGCTCATGGAGGTTAAACCCAAAGCACAGGAGATAATAGGAGTTTATATGGACACATACAGCAGAGAAATGAGCCTGTGCTCTGAAGTTCTGATTCCATGGTGGGTCAGTGGGAGGTTCCCCATATCTGTGTGCCAGGGGGATGCACAGGAGTTTGTCCACATGAAGAACCCCTCATCTTTCCTCTCAATCTATTTTATTCTTGTTGCAAATGAAATCAGAATTGACCTTGCTTTGAATTCTCCTCAGGAATGAAAATGAATATGAATATGGGCACAAAGCTGTTTGTTGCTGTGCTGTTTAACTTATTTGTTTCTTCCAGCCGTGAAGAGCGAAAGATTGATGCTTTGCAAGAGATGGATGGCTTCAACAGGGTTCACAAAAATTTCGGTCCTGGTGAGGTGGAAAGGTAATTAGCAAAAGAAGGCACTTGTCTCTGACTGTGTTTTCCTCCTCACTACAAAAGTGAGCAGTGAGATCACAGATGGGTGACAAAGTGGGGCAATTTTAAACCCCAAAGTTGCTGAGTCTCTTTACAATCGAGCTGGGTGTTTCTGATTGTAGAGCTTGGATTTAGAGATGCAAGAAGGCTCTAAAACAGTGCAGAAACTACAAAGCTCTTGCCTATAACCATCAAAACATGGTTATGTGTTCCTTGTTTTATTGTTCATTACTTTGATGACCAGTATCCAGTGATAAAGTGATGCTAGGGACACTTTTCTTGCAAAGAAATGGGTGCCAAAAAATTCAAGTTATGGTTCTTGTATTGTCATTTCCCACAAGTCTCTTGTTTAGTACTACTAATATGTGTGTCCTGGGACTTTCAAGACAGACTTTATGTCTTTCCTTACAACTGAGAAGAAAATTGAGCATCAAAGTCTCCATGTATGCTTGCCAAGGGGGAGTTGAAGGTTAAACTGAACATTCCTGAGCACTGAAAAGTCCAGACCATGTCATTTTTCTCTCCTGCCTTACTCCTCACCCAGGAATAGCTGGAAGGGCTGATACTGATACAAAGGCTGTTGGAGAAGTTGTCCTGTCCTGTTCCTGCAGAAAACATCTAATCACTGCTTGGGTGAAGGAATTACATCCACAGTGAGGACATGGTGTTTTCTTGACTTTACACAAGCAACGTTAATTTTTCAGGGCAGAGAAGATGGAGCAGCTGGAGAGGATGGTGTTGGACCTCCAACAGGACGTCCTGTCTCTGAAGAAGAAGGTGCAGAGGCTGGAATCCCTGTCCTTCCAGGAGGAGCCCCACCGACAGCCGTGTGAGGTGGTGGAGCTCTTCAATGGCTACACCAAGGAGCAGCTCAAAGAAACCATCAGGTTTGACCAGAAAATCAGCACAGCCTGCAAGACTCTGCTCTACAAACTCTTCACCTCTGACTACATCCAGAGCCACTCCATCACAGGGCGCAGGGGCAACACCTTCCGGGAGGCGAAGCCTATGATGGACGAACGCTGCATCAAAATCATCAGGGTGCTGCTGAAGCAGAAGTTTGGGGATCACCTCAGTGACACTGTGATCACAGAGAAGATCCAGAACGTGCAGAAAGCCCTGAGGCAGAAGTTTAAGACAGAAGGTCTCTGAGGTGTGGAGGATTTGGTGTCTCGTCCTGCCATTCCTGTGTGTGTCCCTGAGCATCCTTCCCAGGAAAGATGAGCTGAGCAGCTGCTGCTCAGTCGGTTTCCCCCAGGGAGCCAACCCAAGTGAACCATGTGCTGAACACAGCTCCAACACTGCCAAACCTCTGCCTGCAATAACCAAGCAGGAATTTGGCCCAGCTTGGCTCAGTTTTTGCACTCTACGAGTTCCTTCCCCCCCAGTCTGTGTGCAAACCTCGCTGTGGGTGCAGGGAATCATCTCTGTGACTTTGATGATGGGCTCAAAGGCTTCAGGGCTCTGTTTGAGTCCAAGAAAGGGTCAGAAAGGTAGCTCTGTTCCACTCTGCAGAAGTGTTGGCTTTGGGAGAGAGAATCCAGCTGCAGACAGACTGTGTCACCCAATGTGGCTTCTCTCAGTCTGCCTCTGGTTGCCTGGTTCTGCCTGTGGGACAATATTTACTCTTTCCTCACAGCGAATATTTTATTTCCAGCAGTAACAGAAAGGCAGACTCATTAAAGTGACACCTTAAAACATACAGAAAAAGATAACTTGATTTTTTTTCCCATCTATTTTAATGTAGCTGTGTGGAAGAGCTGTCTTCCCTAACAAAAGCCTGCTGAACAAGAGAAGGGGTCACCCGTGGAGGTTACATTAATTTTCTTTTCAAGATCAGATTATTAGGAGAACTACATACAGGAAAAATACCTTACATTTTTATGACACAAGAATGAGGGATGGAGGACAAAATATGGCCCAACTTTGCTTCCAAGATATACATATTGTGGACACCCTCACTATTATTTGAATACAGTATTTTTATCCTAGATGAGAAATGCCAAATACAGCCAGACACTTTACTCAGAGACTATAGAAAAGGTCTAGAAAGACACATCTTTGCCTAAATAATTCAGAGCTGGAGTGTGGGTGGGTTAAAATTGTTCTAAGCATTAAAAGAATGAGATGCTGACACCAGTCCAGCACTTGACAGAAGTGCTGCAAAATACCAAACATTCCTTTTTACAGAGGCTTCTCAGACAAGAAATTGGTTTTCTCAGCTTAATTTTTAAATTATTCAGGAAAAGAAATGTCAGTGGGTTTGCATTAATCAAAACATGTGGTTTAATTTATATGTTTCGTTGTGTTTTCAGGTATTTAATTTCTTCACAGTTACATGAGAAATAATGCAAAATAAATGTATTGGAGAAACAAGGAGCTGTTTTGAAAAGGAAAAAAGTGTTATTCTCAGAATTTTCCTCCACCTTCTGCCTTTTTTTGAGCTAATCCTTTAAAGTAGGGTTAATGCTGTGATGCATTTTGGTTTTGGAAGGAGATAGGCTTGCCAATGTTTATTTTCATCAGATGTCTCTAACAGTCATGTTAAATTGCAGTAGGTAATAACTAAAGATATTCCTTCTGTTTTCCCAGTGCAAATGCCTTTCCTGACTATTATGCAAACACATTGGTGATGATTTCTCCTTTGTAGGGACCTTGACCTGTGCAGCAGCTGGAGCAGGTCTGCTGTGGTCACTTAGAGCCAAAAGCACAGCCAGTCCTGGCAAATGCACTGAAACTGAGCAGAACTGCCCCAAAACCTCCTCAGATCAGAAACACACCTTGAAATATCACAGCCTTGTCAGAAACATGGGACCTTCCCACCTCAGGCCTCAGGCTGGAATCACTGCTCAGGGAAATGCCCCAGGTGATATGGTGATATTTAAATGTTAACTTATCAAAGAGAAGATTAAGGAGGCACAACCAGCAGAAGCTTAAAGTTCATCCAGTGCCATCCCCCTGCCATGGGCAGGGACACCTTCCACTATCCCAGGTTGCCCCAAGCCCCATCCAACCTGGCCTTGGACACTTCAGGGATGGGGCAGCCACAGCTTCTCTGGGCACCCAGTGCCAGTGTTTCTCAATCTTCCCTCCTGACGTTCATCACATCCCTCACTAACCTGCAGCCTGGAAAGCCAGCTCAGGAATGCTATTTATTAAAATAAATGCTGCTGCTCTCCCCCGCTGCTGAGCCCCCTCTGACGAGCTGCAGATCATTACTGTGAGCAAAGGGAGAAAAAAGCCAGGGAATGGATTTGCTGCGGGGTGCCACAGCTCCCAAAACGCTCTGGCTCTAATCAGCTCCCCGAGAAGCAGATGAGCTGGGTAACCTCTCTGCTTGAAAAGCCCTTTGGTGGCTCCCTCAGAGGTAACTTCCCAGGCTAACACGCTTGCTGGTATTCAGGAGTGCCCCTGGTAAGTGGCTGATGGATGCTCTGCAGCTCCATGCGCAGCACAACCGCAGCACTAACGAGCCGGCGCTCACATGGGCCCTTCTCAGCTATAAAAGTTGTCCTCAGATACTCTCAAAGGCTTTGATATGGCAGAGAGGATTGAAGAAAGGCAACGCAGGCGGCTTTTTGTCAAACTTCATTTTTTAAAGTATTTGTGAGCCAGAGGCAGCGTTTGCAGGCTAATTGGGAGCACCGGTGGCCGCCGGCGATCAAACGTCAGCAGGAGGATGCTGATGCTCTCACCTCCCTGAACTCTCCAGCTCTGCCTAATCAGCCTCGAGAGGGAGGATCACACAGCTCTGGCATGTGGCATTCCCTAGGGGATGCAGGGGTCAGGGTGGATAGAGGAGGAGGAGGAGGAAGGTTTGTGCCAGAACCGCTTCACTCAGGGATGTTCAAAGCCTGTGTCTCTCACAAAGCGGTGAAGGGCTGCTCCATTGAATGGAATTAACTTCCCACTTTAAATGAATTACCAGGAAAAAGTGGGCAGCACTTGTTGTTGAGATTAATTACTCTGCTAGATCTCGTTCAAAATGATGCTCCTGCTTAGCTTCTGGGTGAAGTGGGTGCAGGAGGGTGTGGACAGCAGAAATGAGGGTCAAAGCTCAGGGGGAGAGCTCCAAGGAGGTTTTGTGTCACAGTGCAAGCTGGATTGTACCGGGCAGGTAATTTAGTCACATATGGGAGAAGCAGCCTGGCCTGACAGACAGGCCTCCAGGGAACAGAGATAGGACAGAACTGGAAACAGATTTGACCCAATGAGTCCCAGCCTAAGCTGCAGAGGCTGTTGAGCTGAGAGCTGAGCAGCCTGAACTTTCAACCAATCACAGGTGCCTACCTGGGAACATTAAGAGAAATATTTAAGGTGAAGGGAGAACAATGAAGGCTTTTTGTCACATGGATCATGGAGTGCTGTGTCTGTCTCAGGCACAGTGCCAGTCACTGTTACAACTTAACATTAAACAAGAACCACTTAGTTCCAAACCGTTAACATTTTAAAAAAACAAGAAACCATTTAACTTAAAACAATTTCAAATAAGAACATACATATTTCATTTATTCCTTACTCCCCTTTCTTTGTTTTATTTAAAAAAACAGTACACCATTTAACTTAAAACTTTCAATTAAGAACACACTAGTTTCTATCTATCCTTTCTCCCCCTTCCTTTGTTTTTAGAAATTACAACAGGAAAAAACCATGCACTTTTAAATTACCTCAATGTGGTGAGTAGTATAATTGCTGATATACTACAATCCAATTGTAGTGTTTGATAATGTTGAAGAGTTTTCCTTTAAATGATAGCTTAGGAAAATCTTCTCCAGATAAGATTCCTCATGTTTATCCCAAAGGAAAAGGTTTTAGCTTTTGCAAGGCTAAATTAGCTAGTCAAAATGACTTATTTTCATTTTTAATTCAGAAATATCTGGATTTTATAATTTTATCTCCTTGTCAGTCAAATTCCAATTTGGCCACAATTGAAATAGACTGAGAAGGCTTTGATGGTAAACATTTCCCTTTTGCTTATTTAAAATCTCAATGTGGCCAGAGTTGAAACTTTAGACTAGGCAAAATTTTCTATTATATTTTATAACAAACTTTTAATACATTTTAAACTTTGTAAACAGAAGTGATAAGGGGTAGGTACTTTAGAAAACTGATCCACATAGATTTGTTTTGTTCAACTTATAATATTAGAATAAGCAAGATTTTTAAAATTTTCAGGATGACTGATTGAGTATGATGCTATTGCAATGTATATGAATGAAGTTAGCAAACATTCTACTGTGAACTTCGACATACACTCAAGAAATTGCAGACTATAATTGCAACTCTGATAAAATACTTTTTTAGCAACTGTAAAAGAATTGATTTGTGATATTTTGGTTTCAGCATTTGCAAACAGTAACAGCATATATTGTACTACAAACTTTACGACATATTGAGCAATCTGCAATCCATGTTTGCAGTACTGGCATGGTATTTTCACTGCAGCTGTAAAAAAACAGGTTAACAAAGCAAATATTAACTTACTAAAGTTTGCAAAATAGGCAGGCTTTGGCAAAATTGGAGGTGGGTGAAGTAGCTGTTGAGTTCTGCTGAAGGTGAATATTGCTGTTAATATCACGTTGGTTGGTGTTGTCAAGTTCTTTAATTTTCATTTTCACTATCTTAAGACATGAGGCAAGTAGCAAATTGTTACATTTGTTGAGAAGATGGTTTGCTCTCTGTTGCTGTGTTCTAGCTTTTCTATGTGTTTGGTGGTATCTTTTCAGGTTGGCTTCTTTGTTACTGTTTCTATGAAACTTTATTTTGGTAATTCTTTTCCAACTGCTTTTCGCTGGGTGGGCATTTTGTAGGGGTTTTCCCATACTCTGATTTTTGGTTTTGATGCTACTACAGGTGTTTGGATCCCACCCTCTCCCTGGGATGGCGGATTTTTGTGCGATTGGGCCAGTTTGAAGGTGCTACATGGCTGCAGACATTCTTCTTTTATATCTATGTGTCTCTTCCCCCCCCATAGCTTAGTGGAACGTTAGCGTGTAGGTGTTTATTTCTTGAAGAGAGATTTCTCTGTTCCCACTGACACTGAGTGTTAATTAAATTAGGATTTGAAAATTAGGCCTTGGGGCAGAGCTGTGTTTCCTTTTTCCCGCCCGTGACCACGCGGTCGCCGCCATTTTGGGATTGTTCCCGGGCCTCTCCTTTCACCTCACGGTCGCCGCCATCTTTGGAATTTCTTTGTTCTCTTTTCTCCCCCGCCTTTTTCCCTGGGGT